CTATGCACTTTTAGAAAAACTTAATAAAGGAAGTGTAAGAATGGCATAATATAGAATCAATTGATAGAAATTGCATTGATTACGTTTCGAATACTCAGGTTTTAGAGAAAATCTGAACAAGAGGATCCATATTCTTCAATATGATAAATGACCGGCCTAAATCACGCCGGATGGTGTCACCTATAAAAAGTAACGCAGGTTCGAATCCTGCTTCAGCTAGATATTCTTTATTAATTTTTTCGAATGCGCTGACTGTCAAGCATAATCACTCATGAAAAAAGATAAGGCATCTATTCTAACACGTGTATTCACAACTGACGTTTGGAGTAAACGGAAATATATATAAATAAAAATAAAAGAAATGGCAAGAAGAAAACAATTTATGCCGGTGCTTTTCCTCCCCATCAGGAACTTTAACAAGACCGATGGAATTTTATTGCGAAAAAAAAAAGAATTTATTTACGTAAAGTTGAATCATTTAGAAAAACTAACGTTATGCGTTCAAATTTGAATTTCAGTTTATTCTAAAAGTATAGTTTTTCTCAGTAATATTTTTATATATTCGTTGATAAACTTCTTTAAGGAACGAAACGTTTCGGCAAAGAAAAGTTTTCCGTTTGTAATTTCTATTATTAATATCGACTTTGCAGACACATTTATTTATGGCTGAATTTTTTAGGTACGCGCACACGAACACGTATATATATGCGTGTTTGTATATATATATATATATATATATATATATATATATATATATATATATATATATATATATATATATATATATATATATATATATATATATATATATATATGATGATACGTATGAGATACGTAGAAACAACTCATGCAGAGCTACATAGAAATATGTATATGAAATATATCACAAAGTGTTTTTTAACAAATATGGGTTTTCTTCGTAATCTCTCTATGTATGCGAGGATACACACACACAGACAGATAGACAGACAGAAACACACACACACACAGACAGATAGACAGACAGAAACACACACACACACACAGATAGACAGACAGAAACACACACACACACAGACAGATAGACAGACAGAAACACACACACACACAGATAGATAGACAGACAGAAACACACACGCACACACACAGATAGACAGACAGAAACACACACAGACAAATAGACAGACAGAAACACACATAGACACACACACACACACACACACACACATATATATATATATATATATATATATATATATATATATATATATATATATATATATATGAATGTATGTTCCTAAAAATTCTCTTTTCCGTTTATGTTTCACTGATTTTCCCGTTCTTCCATGATAGATTGCTTTTTAAGTGTGTGAGGCTATGGCAGATTCTCCAAAAGGCACCTCAAGTGGCCATCTATGTCCGTCTATTTCTCTTTATTTCACTGGCTCTCTGTGTGTGTGTCTGTCTGTCTGTCTGTCAGTCTCTCTCTATCTCTCTCTAAAATAGATAAGGTTATTAATAAAAAAAGGACAAACGAATTGGTACCAGTATAATCAGTACGATAAATATTTATTAAATATTAATTATTACCCATATAACAGAAATGAAGTACAGAGGGAAAGGTCTTAAGTTGAGAATATTCGGACACGCCTGTGTCTTTCACCCACGGACCGAGGAATAATCAGAGAAATGCGAATTACTCACCGACAGATGTTTTTGTAGATGGGGTATTTTTCCGGTGAAAATCGTATTGTTAGCAAAAACTCGATCTCTGTCTGATTCTTCGATGTGCAAAACTTTTTTTTATGAGATTAAACTTAATAGGTTAGGCAGGTCTATTATTAATAGTGTGCGTCGTAAAGGGAGTGAGAGATTGTAAACAAATATGAGGTGAGTTATAGGTTAGCGAAGGGGAAAAAAGACGCGCGTGTCGCAAGTAGCAGAAAAAATTGGCAGACCAAATTGTCAAATATAGAATGACGGGCTGTTTTGAATATGATGTGATGAAAAAAAAAAGGTGGGGTGGAAGGAAATATATAAATAAAATACTGTTAAATAAAATGAAATGAAATGAATAAGTAAAGAAACAGAAAATGGATAAAAAAAAATTGGATAACAATTTGGAAATGTATTGTTAACCAAAAAGGGGATACAGAAAATCAGAAAATAAAGGAAAAACTGAGATGAAAAGCGTGTACATATATAGAAGCACAAGCGTACATAAGTGTACATAACAGTGTGTAAATATACACAAGCCACCACGCTAACATATGAATGTTAATACCCGTAGATATATAAATACATGTAAAAGATTAATATGTATCTATATTAACATTTCCCACTCCTTACATATGCTTATATGTAAAGGCTCCATAGCGATAGAATCAATAATGGTATAAAAGAGGGTAACTAGAAAGTAGCCCTCAGTGTACATAGGTGGTAGAACATAAAAAATATAGTAGGTAGGTGGGGTGATGGCTGTTAAAATTTAAAGTTAAAATGTGTTGGTGGTGGGTGATAC